CAGCAGCGGCTCTACTCTGAGCCCCTCCCGGATGGCCGAACTTCTCACCCTATCTCTAAGGGAGAGGCCAGCCACCCTATCGAAACTCACCTCTGCCGCTTGTATTCGCGATGTTGTTCTTTCGGTCACTTCCCACAGCTCTTGACCATAGGTGAGGGCAGGGGCGTAGATCGACCGGTAAATTGAGAGTTTCGCTTTTATACTCAGCCCACTCTTCACCCCAACAGACTAATCACTGCAGCCGCAGCACCAATCCGTCTGTCGATCTCCCACTCCTTTGTCCCGTCACTCGTGAACAAGACCCCAAAGTACTTAAACTCCTCCACTTGGGGCAGGAACTCGCCCCTGACCCGGAGTGGGCACTCCACCCTTTTCTGGCTGAGAACCATGGCCTCAGATTTGAAGGTGCTGATTCTCATTCCCACCGCTTCACACAGATAATCTGATGATAATCAGCCGTGGCAAATAGGAAGCACAGCCTCTGTCAGTTTTAAGGTTTTATGTATGAGAAAATAATAAAAATCATCTGCTTCTTAACAAGGCTTGGATAAATAAAATGACATATTTCACCATTTTTAACCAAAACTAAGGACACCATTACTGCTTCCATTGGAAGTGGCAGCCAGGTACTGCTAATCAAATGCACTGGATTAACTGATCATCATTTTGGAAGTTTGCTGGTCTGGGGTGTTAGGTGTGTATTAACACAATGCCTGAGAGTGAGATGAGACGTAACTGTTGACTGACTTTCCGTCAGTCCGGGAAGGACTATAAGGTAATTTCCACACACTGTGACGTCCACTCTGCGCTGACAGATTATCTACAAGTAGAAAACATTTAAGGCAGCTGCCAGTCTGTCCAGGAGTGGACGTTCCAGCAAATTCACCCGAAGGTCATATTGTGCAATTCTCAGAAACAGCAATGAGCCCAGGAGCTCCATCTCAGACTACACGGACCTCAGTTAGCAAGTTAAATGTTAAAGTTCCTGACGGTGCAATTTGGAAAAGACTGAACAAGGACGGCTTTTTTGAGAGTGTTGCCAGAAGGAAGACTCTTGTCTCCATCTGCAAAAGAAAAGAATCACGATCGAGTCAAAGTCCAGACCTCAACCCAATTGAAATGCTGCGGTGGGACCTTTAGAGAGCTATGCACAGAAAAAAATGCCCACAGTCCTCAATGAACTGGAGCAACATTGTAAAGAGGAGTGGGCCAAGATTCCTCAAATTCCTCCATTTTT